TTCAAGGGCCTGCCTCCTCTGTGTTATTTGAGCAATTAGGATTGGGGTATCCTTGCTGAGCCAGAGATTCAGGATGATGACGACGAGGGCGACAGGTTCGACCCAGAGGCCCAGTTCGAGGACCCGGAGCCCAATGGCCGTGGCGACCATGGGCATCTCGCGCCCCATGATCCCTCGGCCCCCGCCCGTCTCCCAGGCGGCTCACCTGGGGCGCGGCAGGAGGGGGCGGGCGCCGAGTCGAGGGATAAGGGTGGCGCGGATTGGTCGGTCACGGCGCAAGATGTTCCAGGGCCTAGTAATAGAGGTTCGCCAGCAACGGGGCCTAGACAGCCGGACCCAGGACATCGGCGACTCACCGCACCAGCAAGCCAGCAGGACATGCTCTGGGAGTCCCTCATGGACCCAGCTGGCAGGACCGTCGTGCTCTCCCGCGTCAGGGACTCGCTCGCTTTCAACTTGGATGCGGAGGCAGCCACGCTGGTTGGGCTGGCATTTTCTGAATGGATTTCTCGTTTCGCCGCGCGATGCTCGGGGTCCATCCTGAAGGCCTACGCCGATTTAAATGCCGATCGCAGCCGCGCGAACTCCAGAACAGAGGCCCAGGGGGCCCACTTCGTCTCTTCTGGGGACCCTGTGGCCCACTGGCGGGCTACCAGGAGCTTCCTTCTTTCCGCAATATGGCAGTGTCGACGCCAGTCTCGACGCGGTTGCTTATGAGCGCGAAGCTTCCTGCGGATTTGGTTCGGGGGCTCCGCGCCCTGAGAAGGGCTTCTGACCAAACTGCCAGAGATTCCGAGTCCAGGGCCATACAGTCTGGGGGCCGCGGCCTGCGCGACACAATCCGCGATGGCGGCGCTCGCGGGCGCAGTTGGGGCCAGCGGGGGGGCGTCGCTTGATCCCTGCCGCCGCGTGGCAGTCAATGCAGGGCTCTGGTCTAAGAAATGGGCTGGCGACAGCTCCGATTTTCCCGAGGCCCGAGCCTCGTGGCTCAAGGCCCAGTTGAAGGCCAATCAGCTCCCGCGGCCCCCTTCTGGACGTTTCCTGGACCAGGAGGGCCATGTCGGCCCTGCCTGAAAACGCCCCAGGGGTTGACAGGCTCCCCCAAAAAGGAATTTCAATGATTACCAGCTCTAGGTTTGCAACAGCATGCAGATTTCCACGCCTTGGCAGAGCAGTGCGTCTGTTGGCCGCGGCGAGCTTCAGTTGTGCAAGTTACGCTCCAGGTCAAAGATGGGGATTCTGACCGCGCGATAGGTCCGTTGGCCTGGGCGGTCACGTTTCGGGGTCGCCTGCGAACCTCAGACCGATCGGGGTGGGCCAAGGGGCGCGCGGGGCCGTGAGGCGCGGCGCTCGCGGGATGTTCAGGCTTTCAGGTTGCGCTGCTGTGGCTCTTCCGGGACGGGCAAGCCGCGCGCCCCAGCGTTCCTGGCAACCAGAGTGGTTGTTGGCTCTGGGATGTGAAAGGTTTCTATGACCGCTTGTGCTGGGACTCGGTCCTGGGCCAGACTTGGAGTTTCCTCCCTGCCATTCGGCCATGGAGGTCCAGGTCCATAGGTCGTCCAGGTTTTCGAGAGAAGCTGGGGGTGTCTCGCTGCCTTTGCATCCTGGCATGTCCGTGGTCCCCGGGGGCAGTGGGGCAGCGGGCCTGGGCCGTGCTGCTTTGCATTTCGCGCGTAGAGAGATCGCCACTGGGCATTGCGCACTTTGGTAGATGATGTTGTGCAGTGCATGTTTGGCAGCAGTGAACGAGTCTTTGCTGAGCTTTCTAGAGTTGGACTTGATTTGGCCCGGGGTCCGCGGGTGCTCGAGCTCCAGATCGCTCCGACGTTGGCCATCATATCGTTTTCCTGGGGCCTGACCGCAAGACTTGTAGATTTATTCGCGGAGCAAGGAGTCAGCGTTCAGGCCGCGCGCGCAGCGGCAGATCTAGGCATCGACCGAGGCCAGGCCAGGGCTAGCAGGCCCAAGCAGGCTCGGCGACGTGCAGGTGCAGGGCGTGGGCTCCAGCGCCTCGGCAACCTTGGCAAGAACACCCTCGTATGTAAGACATGGTCCCGCAAGATAGCCCTGACTTCAGCCTTTTTTTCCACGGCCGGGCACTCCGATGAGGTCCACGGCGCCCGACCCAACGCGGCTCTGGGTTGGCGGGGAGCGCTTGGGGTCCAGAGGCGAGCGGTGTCTGAAGACCCTTTTTGTTTTAGAGCGTGGTAGGAGAGACCCCGCCATTTTCGCCGCGTTTGGTACTATCCACGCTTGGTTTCAGATTCTAACCCACTCCAGCTTCGACGCTGAGAAGATTCGGCGTGTCTGGAGGGAAGTGCTCGCCAAGATAGAGGCGGAACCAGCGGGCGACATATGGCGAGGAGTCGCCGCTCCTGCAGCTGCCGCCATCGCCACTCTCTGGACATGGGTTGGAAAACTGGGGGCCCCCGGGCCTGGGGGAGTGACCCGGGGGAGCGGCGCGCAATCGTAGAGACCAGGCGTGGGCGTGGCAAGGTTGACTTCGTCGATGTGTTTGAAGCTTTGGTCCAGAGTATGGAACGCAGTTTTGGGCGGCGGCGGCGGCCGCCAACTCGTGGAACGGGTCCGGCCTAGAGCTAGTTCCAATTATTTTTGGTGCCATGCGCCTGTTGAAGTGGCTGACCACGAAAGGGAATTGTGAATGGCAAGGAGTTTTGCGGGCTGTGGCCACAGGTACTAGCTGGCCTCGCGCTAAGCTTCAGGTGTGCGGGCTGACCCAGGACAGCGCCCGCAAACGTAGCGGTGGGCTTGTGGGGTGTGTGACGCGCGCAGAGCCCGGGGCTGTCCGGAGGACAATAGATTCTCCAAGGTTTCAGATTTCGTCCGCAGGGGGAGGAGGAGGAGGAGGAGGAGGAGGAGGAGGAGGAGGAGGAGTAGGAGGAGGAGGAGGAGGAGGAGGAGGAGGAGGAGGAGGAGGAGGGGGAGTAGGAGGAGGAGGAGGAGGAGGAGGAGGCGGAGGAGGAGGAGGAAGGGTAGGAGGAAGGAGAGGAGGGAAAGTAACCATAGCTTTTGGCTGCGTGGGCTGGCGCCGCGCAGCTGGGCCGCCGTGTGCCCCCGCCGCCGGAGCGCGAAGAGTCTCTCGGGCCGTTTGGGGGGGCGGGAGTGGGCCTCCGCGGGGCGGTGGTTGGAGGTTTTTGTGTTTGGAGGAGGCGATGCCAGCGGGGGGCCCTTGAGATCCGACGCTCCAAAAAAGTTGGAGCGGGCGGTTTTCGACAGTTTTCGTCCTCCGGGGGCCCTCGCCAGGCCTCGGGAGCGTCAAAAAACGACTCGGGACGAAAAACCGGTCCCAGGGAAGTGGTCCAGACCTCCTGGGTCCACGCACCAAAAAAATTGGAACAGCCGGATGCCTGGGGCCTCACTCGCAGGACCCAGCTCTCCGTCGCGTCGCCTGGCATTGGGTTGTGTTCAGAGGCCTTCGAGAAGGAGGTCAGCACAATATCCTAGAGTGCTCACGGCGCATGCCGCGGAGCTCGGGGATGCGATTGGCTGGAAACTTTCGGTCAACAGGGGGGAAGCGATCAGTTTCTTGCAGTTCCTCAAAGTTGCCCCCCTGTTGCCGATGTTTTTTTTCGTGGCGGAGCCCTCGTGCACAGTTGAGAATTACAGTGAGATCCGCAGTGGGATCTATCCAGAGGGGCAGGAGCAAGAAGGCCACCATGTCCAACGACAGTGTGGCACTCTCTGGCAAAATCTGCCACCGTGTACCACGGCACGTTGAGGCTTGCTGGAACGCCAAGTGCTGTCTCGTACAATCGGACCTGGGCCAGAAGGGCATCCTTCAAGATAATGAGACCCTCCGTCGGCCAGAACAAACAGAACATGCAAGGGTACCCTCCCCAGGACGCACACGAACATCCAACAGCCACGAAGATCACATGCATGCCCTCTCCGAGCTGACCTCGATCTGATACCTGGGTCCGACGGTTAGGGGTTCTGCCATATTCTAGGGACCAGCCCCCCCCTCCCCCCCCATCTCGAAGCGTCGGCCCGCGCGCGTCGCCTCCCCCTCCCCGAGGGTCTTTCCGAGCCCAGGCACGGCTCTGGCGCTCTCCGAGGAGTCGAAGACGACAACGATGGCCTCCAAGATGGCCAAGGCAGACCACCAAGGCCACCAAGATGACCCGAGGGGCCTCCAAGACGAACCGAGATTGCCCCAAGACAGCCCAGGATGGCTTCAGAACTGCCCAGGGTGCACTCCAGACGGCTCCACGAAAACTCTTAACAAGGCCCGAAGATGCCAACATCAGTGATTCCCCGCCGGCGTTTCCAAAGTGCGTCGCAGTCTCGCATTTTCGGTCTCCCGCCAGATCGAGATGGCCCAAGAGGCCTCCAATATGCCCTGACGACGAGTTTTTTGTTCGATCTTGCCTAGGGCAAAAGTTGAACAGTTGAACGCAAGACCTTCTTCTGGGTCAGTTGACTTTGCGCCTTGTTGCAAGGTCGTCAAATGCTCCTTGCCGTATCTATTCAACTGATACTTTACAAACTTCGGCCAAATTACGACGGGCCTGTGTGGCCACACAAACACATGCAAGACAGACTGTGCTCCCGAATTCCCTGTGCGATGCCAAGGTATGGGAGTTGTGCAAGTCTTTGCCATTCACTGTGCCTTTGGTGGGCACCATCATCAACCCCTTGACACAAGCCCTGGTGGCATGGGGTTGCTAAACATTTGTCTGCCATCCTGTGCGGCGCACATCCCCCGCGCGCGTGGAATCCGACCTGGGAGCCAGTGCCCGTGACTGGCTGTTGGGCTGTGAGCAAGAGGTGATCCTGAATCTGGCGCCTCCCGGGACGGAGAGTGGCCTCCCTCGGAGCTCTGTCACCACCGGCCTCGATCGATGCGAGAAGGGAGGAGGAGGAGGAGGAGGAGGAGGAGGAGGAGGAGGAGGAGGAGTCCAGGTGCTGACGGACATGGAAGGCAATCGCTTGCGCGCGGGACCTGTTGTCTCTGCGCTGCTCTGGCGCACGGGAAGTTTATGGCCCACTGCTCGGCAATCCCGCCGGCCACCTCCTTCAAAAGAAAAAAGAAATGGGTCGGCTCCCTGGTCGCTCGCATCGTTGACGGACCTACGACTCTCCACTCTGGCCAACGCAACACCTCTCGCGGGGTGCTCGGCCAGGAGGCTTTTGACACTCTGCGACGCATCGAGGTGGATCTCTCACGATGGGCGGCGTTGCGCGGTAGGAGGAGGAGGAGGAGGAGGAGGAGGAGGAGGAGGAGGAGGAGGAGGAGGAGGAGGAGGAGGAGCCCAGGCAGCTGGGCACCAGGGTACAGGGCCGAGCTGGGGCGAGCCGCATGGCCAGGCCAAGCAATCTGGAGGCAGCGGAGCGCAGCGCCGAGTCGGGGGGGCAGTTGGGAACACGGCCGAGCCAGTGAAGTTGGCAGCAGCGGAGTGATTGCAAAGGATTGCAAAAAGGATTGCAAAAAAGGATTTCAAAAAAAAACCTGTTTTTTTTGCAATCCTGTTTTTTTTTGCAATCCTTGTTTTTTTTGCAATCCAGGGTTTTTTTGCAATCCTGGGTTTTTTTGCAATCCTGCGCCAGGCCCCTGAGCTGGGAGATTGGCAGCAAAGGAGGGGAGCATCATTGCCACTGATCGTCAGGGACAGGGCCGAGCCCATGAGCATTGAAGCAACGGAGAGCGACACCATGATTGGGGTCAGCCGGGGACGAGGCCGAGCCAAGGAAACTGGCAGCACCGGAGGGGGGCAGCAGCAGCAGCAGTGCCAGGGAGAGTCGCGCCGCAGAATGCCAAGCCTTAGAAACTCTGAGAGCGGGGGGCAGTTCTCTCTGAGCGAATTCAAATCCCTTCCATGCAGGTGTTGCTTGCGGAGTGCTCCTCATGACGGGCGGTCTTCTGCTCACGATGTGTTCTTCGCTTGGCGCACGAGTGCGGATGCAGTGTGTGGCCAGAAACACAGCTCGTGGTCAAGGGTGCCTACGTCTGGTGGCGGAGTTGCCTGGCAAACGTATTTGAAACACCCTAGCATGGGTGATTTTGAAGACCAGGCGAGGTAACGAACTGGCTGATGCAAGCATCCGTCCTGAGAGCACCTACAGTGGATGTAAAGCCACGCGCAGGGCATCGTTGATACCTCTAAGCAGTGTAGAACATCCTTTCGCTGTTGCTCCTGGTGCCGACGTATCTCCACTCATCTCTTCGCCTTGCGACTGCTGACGCTCAGCGCTTTTACCCTGCGCTCTGCGCCGGGTCTTGTGCGTCGCGGGCTAGCACTTAAGAGGGGTCAACCCAAGACATGATATGCGAAGTCCGAGGAGGACGGAGTACGCGAGGGAGGTCGAGAATTGTAGGGAGGAGGATTATTTGGAGGAGGTCGAGGAGAATGGGAAGGATGAGGAGGCTAGACGATGTGATAAGATGATGGGGCCGATGATGATGGACGAGGATAGGGCGCTTTGAACGAGGAGGTGGGTGTCCAGGAGCGGGTGGAACAGGACGAAAGGCAGGGCCATGAACACAGAGAGCAAGGAGGACCATGTTGAATGGGAGCAAGGGCAAAGAGGAGGATAAGGCGGAACACTGACAGGTGCAATCGAGTGTGGGGGTAATTGAGGAGGTGTATAAACAGTGAGGGTGGGGTGGGACGGGGGGGGGGGACAGAGGAGAAGAAGGACGTGTATCAATAGATGAAAGAGAAGAAGGGAGGGTTGGTGGTGGATGAAGGAGGCGAGGAGGATCTGGGAAGGAACTCGCCATGCCTTGTCAGCCGTGGCTTCCTCTTGGCATTTTCAACCTCCCTATTTTTCTGCTCCCCCGCCTGCTTGTTCTTCTCCTTCTCCCGTCCTCCCTTGCATCCCACCACTTTGGCCGATGTGGGAGGAACGGGGAGAGTGACTCGACCTCCGCCTCCCCCACACACTTGCGCGGTGGCGTTGTGGTGGTATCGGCTGCGCTTTGCCAAAGCCTGTCTCGCCAGCCCACGGACGAATTGGGATGCGAAGTGTAATCTCTTCTTCTGGCAAAAAGAGCTGCCCTCTCCATCTTTTCTCCCTGCTCCACTGGTTCTCCTCTCCACCTCTGTCCCCTTTCAATGTTACATTCTCCTCTTCATCCTTAGTATGGCCATCCATCTCCTCCTTGCCCCCCCGCTTCGTTGTACTTCTAAGCCTGCTCGTGCTGTCACGGCCTCATGCTTATTCATAGTCCATTCCCTCCTTCCGAATGTCCCTCCTCCACCTCCTCCTGCTCTTTCTCCTCCTCCATCTCCCCCGCTTGCTTACACCGAGCTCTTGATATCATCATGTGTAGCTTGTGCTCCTGGTAGCGATGTCTTTCGTATCGGGTGGGTGGCACGGTTGATGGCCTTATTTCTCTTGCTGTGATATGCCACTCCTTCTGTTCTTGCCCATGCATGGCAATTCTACCGAATCCGAAATATGATACGGCCGTGGATCGTGGTAGATCTCCAAGGTTTGTGATAACTATGACGCTTCCGCAATGAGTGAAGGGCGAAATTCGCAAAGATTTATACCACCATGTAGATGCAGAGTAAACACGTTTCATGCTCAAATATGCGTTCATATGTGCATCACATGATTTTTGTCATACGCACCTCCCCCAGGGAATAGCGTCCAGATCCGACTTACTGCCAGCTGTGTTATGTGATTGCTTCTTGGCGTATGATGCTCGTACGTAAAATTTCACGTTCGAACGTTCGCACGGGGGCCTCTTACTGGTCGCGGCGCGTCACGGTGGACGCATCCGAATTTTGTTTTGCATGTTTGTTCGGGATGGGGAGACGGAGAAGGAGGGCGGTGGAAAAACAGGAGCAGCAGCCGGAGTTCGGAGGGGGAGTTGAAGCAACGGCGGCTGTTGAAGTGGCAGCAGGAGCAGGCGGGGCCTCGGACGTGTGATGATGATGACGATGTTGATTATGATGATGACGAAGAAGAGGAGGAGGTGGAGGAGGAGGAGGATGCTGATGCTGATGGGGATGAGGATGAGGATGCGGACGAGGATGATGTCGATGATGGTGATGATGATGATGATGCTGCTGCTGATGAGGATGGTGAAGATAATGATGATGTTGATGATGATGCTGACGTTGATGATAATGCTGATGAGGATGAAGATGATGCTGCTGATGATCATGCTGCTGATGATGTAGTTGTTGTTGATGATGATGATACCGGTGATGGTGATGGTGATGGCGGTGATGCTGAGGATGACGATGAGGATACGGCTGAAGACGATTATGATGATGGTGGTGGTGATGATAATGATGTTGCTGATGATGATGCTGCTGCTGTTGATGATGAATCTGACGACAATGATAGTAGTTGTGATGGTGGTGATGCTGATGCTGATTATGATGCTACTGCTGATACTGATGGCGCTGCTGAAGATGGTTATGATGATGGTGGTGGTGATGATAATGTTGCTGATGATGATGTTGCTGCTGATGATGGTAACGATGATGCTGACTATGCTCATGCTGATGATGCTGCTGTTGATGATGCTGATGACGACGATGATGATGATGATGATGATGGTAATGATAATGATCATGATGCTGATGCTGATAATGATGGTGATGCTGCTGATGATGATGACTATGATGATGATTATGATGATGGTGATGCTGGTGATGCTGCTGATGATGAACATGATTACTATGATGATGCTGAGCATGATGATGCTGGTGCTGCTGACGATGCTGATTGCGATAATGCTGCTGCTGATGATGAGTATGATGATGGTAATGATGGTGAAGATGATGCTGATGCTGATGCTGATGCTGCTTCTGCTGCTGCTGCTGCTGATGATGATGATGATGATGCTGCGGCTGATGATGATGGTGATGATGATGATGATGATGATGATGATGATGATGATGATGATGATGAGGGGGAAGATGAGGAGGAGGAGGAGGAGGAGGAGGAGGAGGAGGCCCGGTGGCGAGGGTGACAGTCAGAAATCGCCCTCCTGGCTTTCATTGAACCTCACCCGCGCCAGCGCGCCCTCGCGCTCCGCAGCTCGCTGGCATTCGGGGGGCCGAGAACCTCGATTTCAACATGTTCGGGTTCGACCTCCTCCTGGCGATCGTCGGCGGAGGCCTGCGCGGTAACGTCGCGCCTTGGCTACGAAGCGCTGCCGGCCCGATCCTCCTCGATCCTCCTCGATCCTCCTCCTCCTCCTCGTCGATCCACCTCCTCCTCCTCCTCCTCCTCGCCGATCCCCACCGATCGCCTCCTCCTCCTCGAACTTACTCCCCCTCCCGATCCCTTTCCCTCTCCCCTTGTCCCCCCCCCCGTCTCTCGGCTTCAGCTGCCCTGCCACCGAGCGTGTCTGTGTCCCCGTCGCGCGCCCGCTCCTGGGCCCCTCTCGAGCGCCCGCATCCGTGGAGCGTGCCACGGATAGAGGAAGGGGAAGGCAGAGGAGGGGAAGGATGGCGGTCGGGAACTTCTTGCCCAGCGCGTTCAGGGGCCATTGTAGGAGGGGGATAGGATCAAGGGGGGACTGCATCGACTCCCCATCGCCCATGGGGGGCCGATGGCCCACCTCGCCCACGGCCTATCGGGCCCCGTCGGTGGTCTATCGGGGCCCATCGCCGATCTACCGGCGATGCCTCGCCGATCCTGGGCCCATGCTTCCCCCCTGGCCTGGCCGCCCCCGGACGTCTCCCCTCGGCCTCTCTGCCCCGGCGGCCCTGCCGCCGAGGGTGGGGGCCCGGCCCGTGCCGCCCTCGCGCGACCGCTCTCCAGGGGGGCCGCTTTGGAGCTCCTGGGTCGCGGAAGGGGCAGGGGGAGGGAGGAGGAGGAGGAGGAGGAGGAGGAGG